TCAGCTTGAGGACTAAGGTGTGCCTGACCCAAGCCATGGTATTTTCAGTAACCTCATATGCATGTGAAAGCTGGACAGTGAATAAGGAAGACAGTGGAAGAATTGATGCTTTTGAGTGATGGTGTTGGAGGAGAATAATGAAAGTACTATTGGCTGCCAAAAGAACCAACAGATCTGTGTTGGAAGAAGTGCAGCCAGAGTGCTCCTTGGAGGCCAGGAAGGACAAACGTCGTCTCTCATACTTCGTACATATTGTCAGGAGGGAACAGTCGCTGGAGAAGGACATCATGTTTGGTAAGGTGGAGGGTCAGAGAAAAAGAGAAAGACCCCCAGTGAGATGAATTGGCAAAGTGGCAGCATCAATGGGCTGAAGGTTGGCACAATTGTGAAGTTGGCCCATGACGGGGCAGTGTTTCGTTCTGTTGTACCTAGGGTCACTATGAGTCGGTACTGACTTGATGGTAACTAACAACAACAACAAAAGTGTCAGCAATAAAGAGGGAGACCCCCATCGAGATGGACTGACACAGTGGCAGCAGCAATGGTCTCAAACTTAGCAATAGTGATGACGCTGCAGGACCCAGCAGTGTTTCATTCTGTTGTGCGTAGGGTCGCTATGGGTTGGAGTTAACTCCATTCCAACAACACGAGTCCAAATTGGCTCAATAATGATATTATTAGCAGAGCCTGTAAGTGGGTTCCATCACTCACCTTTCTGTTAGCAACTGAGCATTTAACTGTTCAACTTAACTGCTACACCACCAGAACTCCTTAAGGGTTCTTTAAAGATAATATGATGAGGATCCTGCTGGGTCAAAGGAATAAAAGCAGAGTTGGCACTGGATGGAGTGCAGTATTGGGCGGAGTTGCAGCTTTCCTTTTTTTCCACCCTCACTTCTCCTGAAAGGCTCTGAGACACCTGCTACTAACCTGAATACCCATGTGAAAACAAAATTCTGGTCCAGCTTCACTGTTCACTGATAATGGAAATAGGCCCAGAAATAAAAAGTGGTTCAACCAGAGTTGCAACCCACATTCCTATTACTTCGTGATCTACTGCCACACAGTGACAAAGAATGGCCAAGACTAAAACGCATGGAATGGTCTAAAGCTGTGGTAATAATGTGTAAACTTATTTTCCCTATAGTTGATGATCTTTTTAGTGGCCCATTTTTATTTTCATGTTTATTTTTTAACTGTTTCTGGTGCCTCTGGAAGCACTGCTTGTGTTGTTCTAGAACCTTCTGTTTGCCTTGTGGACAAACACCAGCTGTGTTTCCATGAAACTGGACTGAAAACAACTTCACTCCCACTGGTACCCTCTACCTCAGCCTTCTGTGGTCCCTTCTGATACTAAATAAAATTCTATGCTTTCTAAATGTTTCCACATTCAGGGCATTTCACTTCAACCTCCTGACCAGCGTGTTCTTTCAGGCATATTACTGAAGCACATAAGCATAAACTCATAGCTGACTCAGTATAACTTTGAACTCAGTGTGTTTTCTTTCCAAGATAAGGTTATGTTTGTACAAACAACCTTGAACTTTATTGGGAGAAGAAGAAAAGATGTAATGCAATTTATGACTGCTGTGCTAGTTCCAAATGTGACGAGTTTCCTGTTAAGATTATACATGTGTCTTAATGTTCTTGTGGAAAGCTCTTTTCGTTTACTTTTGAAAAAGAAGAAAGCTGAGTTGGGGGTGGGGCAGGCAGGATTCTTAGTCTATCAGAAAAGTTGAACCAGAGTCTCCTGGCTCCTGTCTCTGGTTGCTGCATTTATTACTGGCGATTGTACATGTTTACCTCGTTTCATTGCACTTTGCTCCATTGTACTTTATAGCCACTGCGTGTTTTACAGATTGTAGGTCTCTGACAATTCTGTGTCAAGGAAATCTTTTGACGACATTTTTCCCATAGCAGGTGCTCACTCTTTGCCTCTGTGTGAAATTTTGTAGTTCTCATGATATTTTAAACATTTTTTTATAATGCTGTTGCACACTTGATAAATTACAAACCAAAACACCAAGTTCACTGCCATTGAGTTGATTGCAACTCATAGCAACCCTATGTAGGGTTTCCAAGACTATAAATCTATCTAGGAGTAGCTAGTGAATTTGACCTGCTGTTAGCAATCCAATGCATAGACCACTACGCCACCAGGACACCTTAATAGCCTACAGAATAGAATAAACATCATTTTTGTCTGCACTGGGACACCATAGAATGCTTGTGACTCACTTTAATATGAGCTTTGCTCTATTGTGGTGCTCTGGAATAAAATGGCAATATGCACGAAGGATACCTATGAAATTCTTGGTGTATAGTAAACATTAATTGGGTAATATCGGTGAGAATCTAAAAAGATATGCGTTCTAAGAAATGTAATGCCTTACAAGTTAAAAAGAGAAATGATTTATAAATTTCTGTTAGGTCAAGACAAGAAGACTATTTAGCCCTCTGATATATTTCTCTTCTTCTTCCTCCCTCCATCTTTCTCCAAAATTCAGAAAACATATCCCTGCCTCATTCCCTGCCTCAGCCCTGCCCCTGCTCCACCACAAGTCTAGAGCTTCAGTTTGTTGTGAAAGCAAAAATGAGCCATTTTATTCTCTTTTTAGGTTTGTGGATGGCTCCTAGAAGATACTGATTTGCCCCCAAGGAAAGACCGCTTAGCTGAGTTTACTGCTATATTGTCTCCCAGTCAACCATGAGCCAGGCCAATCCTGCGGATGACCCGGACCCCAGCCCTGAACCCCTGTGTGTGGTGTGCGGCCAAGCTCACTCCTCTGAGGAAAACCACTTCTACACCTACACGGAAGATGTGGATGATGACCTCATATGCCACATCTGCCTGCAAGCCTTGTTGGACCCCTTGGACACTCCCTGTGGCCATACTTACTGCACTGTCTGCCTTACCAACTTCCTAGTGGAGAAGGACTTCTGCCCTGTGGATCGCAAGCTTGTGGTTCTGCAACACTGCAACAAGTCTAGCATCCTGGTCAACAAACTCCTCAACAAGCTGCTGGTGACCTGCCCGTTCACGGAGCACTGCTCCGAGGTGTTGCAGCGCTGTGACCTTGAGCAGCACTTTCAGACAAGGTAAGTCCTGCTTCCCAGCCAACCCTGAGAAGCCCCAGCCCTCATGGGGGGGCAGCTGGGACTCACCTTAGCTCTCAAGGGTCTGGCTGACCTCAAATGCCCCAGATGCTCCACAGGATGCCTGTTTCTTTGTCTTCTTCTTTGGAACCAATGAACAAATCCATGCAACTTAGGAAACATTTTAGGTTTTAGCGGGACTGGGTCATTGTGAAGAATAACAGATGACAGGTGTTGTCATAAATGTGTGTGTCTTTTTAAACTTATTTTCCATTTTAAGAACGTATTTGATGAAAATACAATACTTATGCCAACTTAAATTTGCTTCATGTATAATTCTGTGACATTGATTATATTCTTTGAATTATGTAACTCTTGTGGCTTTCCTTGTCCCAAGTCTCCCTCCACTATTAGCATAAACTCGCTGTCCTCTGTGCCTCTCATTAACCTTGTCAGCTGCTGTATCATTTTGTTCACCTAAAGATAATTCTTTAAAAGAGTACAATGCTTAAGACAGTCTTTACTAATTAAGGTTAACCATTGTTTGGTTTTTCAAAAAAACTTCAGAGAATAGTTTTAAGGTTTAAAGATTATTGAAGGACAGTCATTTTGGGAGTTTATCTAGCCTCTGTGACTCCAGAGGGTCTGGATTCCACTGAGAATTTGAAATTCTGTTCCATATTAACCCCCCCCCCCTTTTGATCAGGATTCAGATATGGAGTTTTTGATCCAAACAGTCAGTATGGTTTCCAGGCTCTGACTTTTCTAGTCTCAAAGCAAAGGAGGTGGTAGCTCATGGAGGCCATTAGACATGCTCTCTGTCTGTCACCTCTGGTTCCTGACTTTCCTTTTTCCTCTTCTGTTCTAGGGGACTACAGACTGATTGTTGTACATTAGAAGGCCACTTGTAAGCTTCTAAGACCCCCACACACTCCACAATGAACTAGGAGGTAGAATGGTGGTTATGTGCCGTGGAGTTCGTTCCGACTCATAGCGACCCTATACAGGGTTTCCGAGGCTGTAAATCTTTACAGGAGCAGAAAGCCTCATCTTTCTCCCGCGGAATAGCTGGTAATTTCAAACTGCTGACCTTAAGGTTCACAGTCTGATTTGTAACCACTACGCTATCAGAGCTCCTTAGGAAGTAGAATGGAAGTAGTAAAAACATTATTAGGCCTATTGAGTGGGATAGCCGAAGAAGCCATGACCATAAGCCTCCAAACAAGAAAGCAAATTCCATGATGTGATTAGTTGTACATAAGGAGCATTAGCAACTCTGCTGATTTTGCTGTTGATTGGTAAACATACACGTAACACAACATTGCCAATTCAACTTTTTTTAGGAGTAGAGTTTAGTGATTATACCGATCATGTTGGGCACACACCATCCCTATTCATTGCTATGATTGTGCTTTGACATATGAAAACCACTGGAAAGATCAGACCAACAACTTTCTCTGAGTTGTATGATCCCCATATATCCTGGTGACCAGTGCTTATTTTTCCACTTCAGAAAAACATTTCTCCCTATTGCTGTTGTCAAGTGCTGTTGAGTCAGTTCCGACTCATATCAGCTGTTGGGTTTGAACTGCTGATCTTGTGGTTTGCAGACCAATGCTTATTCTACTTGGTGATGGTAGTATGCCGTGGAGTTGGTTCCAACTCATAGCAACCCTGTACAGGTTTTCCGAGGCTGTAGCTCTTTATGGGAGCAGAAAGCCTCATCTTTCTCTCATGGAATGACTGGTAGTTTCCAACTGCTGACTTTGAGGTTAGCAGCCCGACTTGTAACCACTATGCTACCAGAGAGTTATTAGAATTCCCTCTGAATGGAAGTTGAGAAACTCTCACTATTCTTTGTGTGGTGTGCTTTGTTTTCAAGTAAGTTTTACTTCATGCTTGCTCAGCAAAAACATGGAAAACCTCCGGATTGAGATGGATTAACTCAACAGGCAAAACAATGGACACCAATATACCAACAGTTGTGAGGCTAGCACAGAAACCGGCAGTGTTTCATTCGCTCATACATAAGGTCACTGTGAGTCAGAGCCATCTTGACGGTGCTCGCTGGTAACTAACAACACCACCAGGTGTTGAAGGGGTGAGATGTTTTCAAGCACATCTTAACCAAAGAAATTGAAGCGGAGAAAAATGTTGTCCCCCAAGTGACTCAGTGACTCGTTCTGCTAGCTTTCCTGCCATGGTATGCATATTGACAGAATTATGGTGATATTGGCAATGTTGCTGGCCAACATCACCTGCCCCACCTATCTGCGTCTTATGTTGTCCACTGATATTGTCATATTTATTCATGGGCATTATCTGTGTGGACAGACTCAGGAGTGTCATTGTGTCTTGTTCCACATGACGAATTCCCTTAGAACATTTAAGGTGTTAATAAAGAGTGAACAATAAGGCCAATTGTTGGCATCATAAGAGAAAATGTGGAAGCTGGTGTTTATCTTGGTTCCTGTCATGACAAGGGCAGGAGGCAGGTACAGGTATTTTTGTTATTGTTGTTAAAGGGCACATACCTTAGGTCATGGAACTGAGTCTTTGTCTTGGGAGACATGTTAGGATTCAGTAACATGGAACCTGACATCAGAGGCAATGCTATACATTTTCCACACTAATGATGTTGACCTTATTTTCTCCCCAAGATGTTGAGCTAATGTATCTAACTTGGCTTCAGTTGTTGTTGTTGTCAGGTGCCATCAAGTCAGAAACAACTCATAGCGACCCCATGCACAGCAGAACAAAACAATGTCCGATTCTGGGCCAACCTCAGTACCACTGCCACATTTAAGTCCATCAGTGCTGTCACCTGGCCAATCCATCTCATTAGGGGTCTTCCTCTTTTTCTCCAATCCTCCATCTTATCAAGCATGACATCCTTCTCCAGTGACTGTTCCCTCCTGACAATATGTCCAAAGTATGACAGACGAAGTTTAGCCATCTTGGCCTCCAAGGAGCACTCTGGCTGCACTTCTTCCAAAACAGATCTATTGGTTCTTTTGG